GAGATACAATTGAGAATCCTCCACACACTCCAAAACAGTGGATAATCTTACATCCTTCTGTTCCACCATGGTGAATGAACTGGGGGACAGTACAGGACAGACACCTGGAAGTGGTGCAGATACAAGGAAGTGTTATAAGAGATGGAAGTGAGGCTCAGGGCTCTCACCTGGTTGCAGACAGGCTTATACTTGAGGCCCGGTTTATTCAGGATCATCTCCAGCTGCCTGCGGTTAAAGTTGGACACCCCGATGGACTTGGCCAATCCTGCGTCCTTGCACTTCTCCATGGCCTTGGGAGGAAGGGGTTGGGAAGAGGCATATGTACAGTCAACTATGTCACTATGAAGGCAAGACAGAACTGTTAAGAGGAGCACTATCCAGGAAGGACAACAAAGCTGATGAATTGATTGTGAAGAGGGGAAAATGGTATAGAGAATAGGGCAAGTTGTTGAGAGCTAGAAAAGGAACTCGTGTGTCCTCTTTAGGGCAACAGACATGACTGCATGTGGAGGCAGCAGTTGCGTTTCCTCATTGTCATCAGTTCTTCTCCTCTCTATCTCTCTGTTACATTCCAGTAATGTGTACCTCCTTGGGCTGGGGTTGTGGCTCAGTGGTAAATCACTTGCCTCATATGTGTGAGGCAGTGGGTTCAAATCTCAGTACCGCACATACATAAATGAATAAAATAAAGGTCCTTCAACAACTTAAAAAAATGTATACCTCCCCACAACCCCAACAAAAAAAAATCTATTTTAAATTTAATGATTTCTAGACCCACAATTTCAGGAGAAAACATAACTTTACTTTAGTCCTCTGGGCTTCCAGTGTGGTCACTCCTTCAGGTACTCACCTCCCATGTGGCACAGAGATCCAGTGAGTCACATATTATTTTTCCATTTTCATCTTTTGGATAAAGCTCTTCTCCTTGCTGCAAGAGAAGTGATCATAACAGAAATCATGCCAAATTCATACATTCATGCACAAAATGGCTGCTAGATATCTATGGGATGGGAGACTAAATCTCCATGAAATACCTGAAACATCAGTCTATATTCATCTATTTCCAAATTCTTTACATGTGGAGTCATAAGGAATACCTTCAGGTGCTTAGTTTCCTGTATTCCCTTACATCAAATTATCTACATGTTTAACTATTAACACACACACACACACACACACACACACATACACACACACTCACACACACACACATATAATTAAATAAGATTTTCTCAGGTCTCCTAATGGGGTCTTCTAGTAGCTTATGTTATTTTTCCTGTCCCTACATACTGCCCTAGAGAAATGTCTCTCTTTCACTGGGAAAGTCACTGGTTGCATGGGCTTGATCTCCTGCAATAATGGGTTTCAATGATGACACAGGCTGAAGAGTGGTCTTTATCTACCTGGCCACATGTGGATCTAAGAATATGTATGTGTAGCAAAGATGGTCATTCAAGTTTCAATTCAAATTTGATTTGATGCTGGAAGATGAAGAGTCCTTATCAAATATTAATGACCTGAAACTTGAACAGCCCCAAAGTCATATTTACCATCAGTGGAAAAGGCTAAGGCAAAAAGCAAGCAAATCTCTAGTAATGCATACATAATGGATAAATAAACAGAAAGGATTCTGAGGATAACTTATTATCATAAATCTAACCATAGTTTGGAATTTCTATAATTCATATAAATTAAATTTATATAAATTTATAATAGAATCTCAACTCAACCATCAATGATAATGATAGTCATGCTGATGACTGAAATTAAGTAGGTTTGATGCTAAAAATTGCCTACCTTCATTGCTATTGGGAAATGAATAAGGTAGAGGTCAACATAGTCAAAACGAAGTTTTTTCAGTGATCGTTCCAAACAAGATTGGACCAGATTGGGATGATGAAAAGTGGACCATAACTACAGAGAATAAAAAAGGAAATGTAACTAGATTAATACATTACCCATATTTTGAAGATTTGACTAACTTCATGTTGAGACATTTATTTGTCTATTTCTTGAAAACGGATGATCATAGGGAAGATATTCACTTCAGATCTTAGGTTTTCATTGATCTGACCCTATTCATGTAAACTGGATTATATCTTTGTCCATTATTTGTCAACAATTGAACTATGGAAAGAATTACACAAGACATATAATTTTTATCAAATAATAACACTATTTAAACTATGATTAATGTTCATAGATATTACAAAGCTATTGTTAGTCCATCTCATGAATTCAGTTCAAAATTTTTATATTTTGATTTGAAAAACTGAAGGGAAACACATTTTGAACATCTTAATAATCAAGCCACTTTAGCTATATCTTGTTTACTACAAATGGAAAAGCCCTTCATTGTTCTTTGATAATGAAAAATGTATCATGGATATTCAGAATGATTTAAAAGTCAACCAGGAGATAATGAATCCATAATCTGGTGAATTCAGTGAATTTCTGGAAGAACTCACAGGACTCTGCATACAGATATACTCATGCTATTCTATCAGATTTCATAACCAAATGAAATTACCAAAATGCTGTTTGCAGAATCAGAAAAATAAAGAACTTTAAAGTCATAAATTTGTAGACAGTGAGTAGGAATTCAAAATCCTTCCCTGTTTTTGATACTGTATCTTTTATGTGAATAAACATTGTACAAGTAATCAATTTCACATCAACAGATCACCAACAACTTTTCACCCAACAGTTTTCACTTCTTTATATCATATTGCAATAATTTTTACACTGTATACACAATACCTTTGAAGTATAGAATATGTCTTCTCTCTTCACAGTGCCATCTGCAATCTTGCTTCTAATGGCCAGTCCTACCTCCTCTTCTACTTGATATACATAAGCACAATCAATATGGCAGAACCCAGCTTCTATAGCTATTTTGGTGGCCTCTATTGTCTTACTATTAGGAACCTAGAGGAACGACCAAAAGAAGTACTTGGAGAACCATAGTATGAGAGATACCTTATAGTGAGCAAAGAGGACAGGTCAAAAGACTGGAAGAATTTTATATCCCAGTGTTTKCATAAGACTACTGAATTATGTGATAAGGTGCTAGTACCCTGAACTTTGAATGTCCATTTTTCTCTTCTGTATGAAGGAAAGAAATTGCCAAAGAATTATTTTGAATATCATGCATAGAAGCAGTGACCTCACAAAACTAATCACATCTTGTGTTAGTTCTGTATTTGGTATAATGTCCTTAAAATCACTTTGGGTATTTCCTTGTTAGTGAGAAGTATCTGGCATCCAAGAAGCCTCTCCATACACATAAATCCTAGTACTCTGGCATTAGTGGACCCTAGGAGCAATTCAAGTTCAGTGAATTTCTAGAAGGACTAATTTATGTGATAACATCACTAAGTAAAATTAACATAGGGGAAGAGGGCATGTGATTAATTACAAAAGAAATACAATGCAAGTTCATATGAATCTTCTCCAAGTGAAGACACACAGAATACACTAATTCCCAATAAAGTACTTTTGAAACCACATGGATAATATTTTCTGCAACAAAAGTTGTTGAGATAATTTCTTATGGTTTTCAGTGGGGCTGGTTAATTGATACCCTATGCTAGGATACAACACAATTCCAGTCTCAAAAAAAAAAAGTTAGGTACATCAGTCTAAAGATAAGGGCATAGTAAAGCAGCATAGCCCTGAATGTCTCTTTCTGTTCACTAAAACCTTGCCAAATTATGGAATAATGAGAGCAAGCCTAGCCCTGTTCATTCAGATATACATTATCTTGAAGGACTCTGTCTTTCTCTCATGCACTTTGGAAACAAGGGCAAGCTAATGTCACTTGTAGAATGATGCTTTTTGTTGTATGCCAGAACAGTCATTCATTGGCATGTTCATGATATTAAAAAATTAAGAAAGTGAATATTGATGATGTCACTGCTTCTGCAGCCTAACATATAAAACTGCTCTCTTGAGCCTAAAGAATATTATAAATATTTGCCACCCAAGTGGAAGACAAGGCATTAATTTCCAGAATATACAAAGAACCCCAAAACTTAACACACAAATATAAAAGGAGGAAAAATGCAGTCAATTAATGGGCAAAGGAAGTAAAGACGCACTTCTCAAAACATAGCATACAAACATTCAATGAGAATATAAAAAATGTTCAACATCTCTAGAAATTAAAGAAATGCAAATTAAAACTACTCTGAGATTTTAATTGTCTCCATTCAGAAAGGCAAATATCAAGAATATAGTAATAGCTGGGTATGGTGGCACACAACTTAATCCCAGTGGCTCTGCAGCCTGAGACAGGAGAAAGGGGAGTTCAATGTCAGTCTCGGCAACAGAGAGGCACTAAGCAACTCAGTGAGAACCTGTCTCTAAATGAAATTTAAAAAAATAGGACTGAAAATGTTGCTTGGAGTTTGAGTGCTCCTGAGTTTAATTCCCAGTACTACTACTACTGCTACTACTACTACTTCTAATAATAATAATAGAGTAATAAATGTTGGAAAGGATGTAAAGAAAAAGATACACAATATATTGCTGGTGGAACTGCAAATTGATAGAACATTCTGGAAAGCAGTATGGCAATTTTTTTAAAAAAAATAGGAATGGTACTACCATTGGACTAGGTTATACCAGTTCTCAGTATGTATCCAAAGAAGTTGAAATTAGCCTACTACAGAGAAGCATCCTTATCAATGTTAATAGGAGCAGAATTCAAAATATAACCAACCTAAGTGCACAATAAAAGATAAATGTTTAACAACTATGTGAAATAAATACACAATGGAATATAACTCAGCCATAAAACAAAATGACTTTATGACATTTTCCAAAAAAAAAAAAATGGCTGGATCTGGAAACTATCATAAGTTGTTAGAGTTCGTAAACAAGTCTGGATGGTGCCTGGCAAAATGCCAGAGGGAGTGGTTTGAAAAGTAACAAAAGCCAGCCATTAAGTGTGGAGATTCTTTATTGGTTGACTGATGTATCTAGTTTATGCTAATTAAGATAAGCTGTGCAAAATGTATAAATACCTCTGTGGTCCTACAATAAACAGCTCCTACTCCTGCTGTATCAATGTGCACAAGTTATTCGTCAC